TTTTTTTTTTTTTTTTTTTTTTTTTTTTTTTTTTTTTTTTTTTTTTTTTTTTTTTTCTTCAACAGGTTAAACAGAGATGATACACTTTTGAAACCTGTAAGATTAAATGAGCACCGTAGCAAGAAAATTTATAAAATTAATTGAAAGAAAAAAAGTGTATTTTGCATTTTAAGTAGAAAAAGGCGAATATGGTCAGACATCACGTGGATCGTCTATGATTAAAGGGTTATTCTCTCTCGTCGTGACGGAAGTCTGAAAGATTACCCTTTGAAAGAGATTTTTCCACGTATTAAAAAAAAATGAAAGTAAAAAGTTAAACAATGGTAAAGTTGGTTTGCAATAGGTATTGGTGTTTGGTAAAGAGCGCATTTAAAGAAAAGGAATTTGATAATGAAGGTTATTAAGAGTCGGGAGGGGTGGAAAGAGGTATGTACGGGGAGCAAGTCAAAATATATTACTTCCATTGCTCCAATAGGAATAGTAACTCATGATAAAAAGTATGTTGAACATTCTGGATTTGACTGTCCAGCTTTGTTGTGTTATATACCATTTATTCCCCACTCTTCCTTTTACTCTCTTGTGTCTTATCGAGTACTTCATAGCAGTAAGAGATACATGGATGAGGGGAAGGATAAATTCACGCAACAACGTAACGGACAGTCACTGTGGGCTACTGTGCGACTGGCTTATGTAGTGCGCCTGTACCTATATATTTCACTAACCACAGGACTTTTTCCAGTATAACATTGGGTGGGGATGATTCAAATTTTTCTAAGCTGATTTTTTATTCGCTGAGACTCGTAGTTATATACACAAAAAGCGTCCAAATATGTGGATCATTGTGCATCTGTAGGACTTGCTGGTCGTAGGGACTCTGTGTGTCAAGACAGAGGGGGAGTAACTGAGAAATTGATCGAGCGAATGAGAGACCATGTGTTCATTACATAGTAGTTAGATGGTACACATGTGTGTCCAAGTATCAGTAGGCCGTGGCTCGTCTCGTGAGTACAACTGAATGTGCTTTCAGTGAACGTCATATCGAACGCCAACAATACGACGACTATCGAGCTGATCGAGTCGCAGATGGAGAATCCCCTCATAGACGCCGACCATCAGGACCTCCACGCGCTCAAGCAGATACCCATACCGAATGTCCACCATCATCATCGCGTCGTTCATCACAAACAGAGGAATCAATCCCACGAGGATCTCGAAGGTATGTACACATCTGTTGGTTTACCCCATATACTATAAACTATTGCTGTCTAGCTCTCACTGATATGATACTCGATAAAATTGTTGAGACGTATTTGATGTGACAACGTTTATTTCGTTCAAAAAGTAAAATATTGAAAATATAATCTGCACAAAAACAGATGGTAAAAAAAAAATTAGTCGCCTATAGAAAATAAATTACTTAAAAAAGGAGCTCATAGGAAGAGGCGAATGTATTAAAAGAGAGTAGTATCTGTGAAAAAACGAGAAACAGCATTCGGAATTGAAGTCCTTCGACAGTCGGGCAGGCAGGCATAGAAAGGAAGTGCGCTCTAATTGCGGATCTGCGAGTTAAAATTTGAAATCCGGTAAGCTGGAAAATAGTGTGTGTGTGTGGATACTCGGTCACGTGAACTGGAAGAACAGCGGCAGCTGTCGGGAAGGACAGTCCACGCGTGTGCTCAGGAAATGAAACGCGAGAGCGAGTCGAAATTAAATTAAACTTTGTCCTCCAGCTGATGGTATTGGTGCTGCTGCTCGCGATTAATATCGTACTGCCCGAAGTTCATGTAATTGCAAGGGAATTTTACAAATGTGTGCTTTGGAAATTGAGATCCGAGAGCCCGACGAACGTATAGAACAGCTAAGTAGCCAGATGGCGTTTTATTTTGGCGATATCAGATAAATTTATTCCTTTTAATTTTTATTCAATAATAATATTTCACAAACGAGGCAGCAGCTCATCAGTTGGTGTCCTTAGTTTCACCAATTTACTGTTTAATCTTTTTATTTTATTTTATTTTTTTTTACCTTTTACTCTACTGGTTTATC